GATGTGCCCGGGGGGGACCATGGCTTCCAGCAGCACCACCTGGGCATGAAACAGACATGGCAGCAGAGAGAGAAGCAGCAAAAGGTCCTTTCTGCTGAGCTCCTGAGGATTGGGAAGGGACAGAGGCAAAGGAGAGGTTTCTGCTGCTGTCCCAAGCCTGCGACTTGACCCTACCTGGCATATCCCATGGGTCAGCAGATGTGTGGCTGGAAGGGGCTGGTGCTGGCCCGAATATATCCGCCAGCTCCAGGATAGAGGACTGCAAACAGAAAGGGAATAAAGAGGTGAGGGCAGAGCTGTGGCATCACCCCCCATCTCCCCACAGCCCCCGGGCTGGCTGCGTGGCCATCCAACCCCATCAGTGCTGTACCTGGCTTTTCTTCATCTTATCTTCCTCCTCCTCTTCCTCCCTGCCCTGGGCAGTCTCCTCCGCACCTCTCTGTAGCAGGGAGTTCTCCCCTTGCCAAGCCCTCACCTCCTGTGGGAAACAAGGGACAGGCCCATGAGCTCCAGCCCCGCATCCAGCACCTTCTCCAGGAGACAGACCAGCACAGGAGCTGCCACCGCATCCCGAAAGGTCCCGGCATCCGAGCAGAGGCTCCTCCGGGAGCGAGCTCAGCAGGCAGCCCACAGCAGCGAAAGCGAAGCAGGCAGCGGAGCGAGGCAGCGTTGTGGGCTCCAGAGCCCCAGAGAGAAGCCCGAAGTGCAAGGCGAGAGGAGCGCCCAGGGCTGCGGGGCACAGGTACCTTCTCGTGCTCCTCTTTGCTCAGCGCGAGCGCGAGCTGCAATTGCCTTTCTTCATCTGTGCTGGAAATTGGAAGTGGCTTCTGCCAACAGAGGAAATGGGGTGACATTTCAGCTTGCCCTCAGCGCCGAGGTGCCTGTCCTCACCACTGCCTGCACACCATCTCTGTGCCTCTTTGCTTGCGAACCAGGCTCCCCTGCGGCCACTGCCCCATCTCCTTCCCCTACCCCTGCATCAAGGCTGGGATGACCCTAAAGCAGGCAGGGAGGTTTTCATGGCCTCAATGCAGGCAGCAGAGAAGGGATTGATGAGGCATCCCCTCACCCTGGCAGCCTGATAGGGAGAAGGGCTTGTGGTGCCTTAACTTGGGAATCCTGCCCAGCTGCACTCTGCTGGGGAATAAGCACCCAGCCCTGAGGCAGATTTGGGGGGAGAGGCTGTCCCCTTCCTGCCATGGCAGCCCTGATCACTGCGTGTGATGCTTGTCCAGCGTGGGACCGGCTGGGAATGGTGTCCCTGGTGGGGCTGTGCATGCCTGTGCAAGTGTGTGTGAGCGTGCACACGTGTGCGCAGCCCAGATGGACTCCAACAGGCAGTGCTTTCAAGAGCGTGTTCCTACAGCGCTCATCGCAGCAGCATGTGGAAGCTATAAATACTCCGATTCCAGGACAAAAATAGGGATATACGCTCTGCTCCATCTCCAAAAAAGCCTCCATCGGGCAGGGAAGACAGGCAGCAGCAAGAGCTGTCTCCAAAGCATGTCCCCTGCATGGCAGGACCAGGCTGATGGTGCTCAGTGCCAGCTTGGGCTGGGGAGGACACACGCAACAGCTCATTTGGTGCCGGCATCCCTTTGGTGCTGTTTTCTAGGGCTGGTCTGAAAGGATTCAGCCCCATTGAGCTTCCAGCCCAGTGCACAGCCATGGGAATGCTGCTGTCCCACCACACAAACACGGGGAAGACATCACCTAAAACCTCTGTGGGAAGGTGAGAGAAATGGGGGAGCTCAAACCAGAAGCCCTCAGCAGAAGAGGGCAGCCAGGTCTGGGGAGTCTCAGGAGGAATCCAGACCCTCAAGCCCACCCTGGGGTATGGGATGATGGATGGGTCTCAGCCTGGTGCTGTCCCAGCCAGTACGAGGACAGGGAGCGGGGACAGCCATTGCCTCCATCTGCCTGCTGGCCATTCTGGATGCCGGGCACAGTGCGAGCAGCCTGGTGCGGTTGCAGGTGCATGCACCGGCCTCGGGCAGACCCCAAATCCTCCCTCCTCCCGGGGAATGACCCACAATGCCCACAGACAAGGCAAGGTGCTGGGAAATGCCCATCCTCTGTGTCCCAGGGCAGGCAGAGCCCTCCTACCTTCTCTGCCTCCTCCCGACTCATGGCCAGCGCAAGCTGTAGCTGCAGCTCCTCCTCACCCGTTGTCTGGGGCCTCGCTTGCTCCAGGTCTGAGGCGAACCGTGGGGATGAGGATGATGCTGGAAGATAAAGGGGGAAAAGGGGAAGGAGCAGCATCAGGACTGGGGTATACCAGGGAGCACATCAGCAACCTCCTCCTGGGCCCCATCCCAGCACATCAGGGGATGTAGCCCCACGTTAGAGCTCCCTACCATGAACAAGCCACGGGTTTAAGGCTCAAGGCATAACCAGCTGCCAACACTGCGGGGCTCACCACTGGCACAGCCAAACCGCTACCCGTGGTACAGGATGGAGAGGGTCTTCACCGCCACCACCCCAGGTGAAGGGGAGCGACGGGCACCAGGCTGGTGCGACCCGAATGCACTGCTACACCCACCCCAGCAACACTCACAGTTAAAGGAGGAGGGTGAGCCCCGTGCCCGGCCATAGTCTTCGCCATAGGGAGATGCACGGCGGCCGTAGGCGACCTGGTGGCTGCCGCTGCCCATGCCCTCGAGGGCCATGCGCTCCTTGGTCTGCAGCGCGTGCGCCCGTTCCTGCTTCAGCCGCTCCTCGTCCTTCAGCAGCGCCATCACCTGCTTCACCTTCTCCCGGATGTTGATGCCCTGGTCCTTGCCGTCACGATCCACGTACTGGAAGTCCTTCAGCGTCTGGATGGTGTAGAGGTTCTCCCGGCACTGGTGGGTCACCTTCTCGGAGCCGGTTTTGATGAGGTAGTCCAGGAGGGTGAGGGCTTTGTAGACGTGACGCCAGTTCTTGCCGCTGTCGTTCAGCCGCCGCCAGATCATGCCCATGACCTCGGCGAAGGCCACGGTGTTGAAGGTGAGGTCGGCGATCTCTGACATCAGAGAGCTGGGGGGTCCCCAGGGATCATTGGAGGTGGCCTCCCGCACCTTGATCTCTGCCTCTGAGTAGTTGTGCACGATGTTCTTCACCTGCCGCCGCAGTGCCGAGGTCGTCATGGCTGCACGGTGCCCGGCAGCGGGCAGGGATGATGGAGAAGGGATAAGCACTCACGGCCGCAGCCTCACCGGTGCCTGCAGCAGGGAACAAGGACACACAGACCTCAGCATCACCCTGACACAACCCCAGAGCCCTTGGCTGGCATCTGGGACACTTCTCAAGGTGGAAGTGCCCACCATCGGGCTATTAGGTGCCGTGCAGGATGCTCAAGGGGAAATAAAACCCTCACAGCAAGCTGATCCCCAGCACCGCAGAGCCGCTAAGAGATTTGGCTCCAGATTCAGCAACATTTGGAGGAGATTTTACCCTGCACTTCTGCTTCTAAAAGTAACCACCTGAAAATGGCAGCTCCCTCCTCCAGATCCCAGCTGCCTCAGCACCACCGTCCCAGCAAAGCCGGTTGCAGGCCCTCAGCCCTCGCACCAGCCAGGGGCTCCCCTGATGCTCCATCCACAGCTCTATGTGGCCCTGCTCACCCCGGTCATCACCCCAAGGCTCTCAGTGCCACCAAGGATGCATCGTGGTAAACCTAAACCCTGCTGTGAGTCAGAGCCTGCCACAACTGACCAGCCTGGCAGCTGCTTGAGTGGGTTTTCCCAGCAAACTCAGTGATCCTGCTTCCATGAGAGGCTGTGGGTACAGAAGCATGTACTGTGGCGGGATGGTGAATTCAGGGTGCAAACCTCCTGCGCCAGGATGGATAACACAACCCTCTGCCCCCAAAAACCCCAAGCTGCCTCAGGGCCTTCTCTGTACTCAGATGCACATCCAGGGCAGCAAGGGCTGGTGTAGCCAGGAGCTTCCTCGCTTGCTCTCCATGGAAGCAATGCCTGTCCTTGGGATGCAATGCACCCGACCTGATTCAGAATGGCATGGGTCAGTCTGGACCCATCTTCCCATGAGCTCATCGCAACTGCGTCCCCTGTTCTGTGCTAGCCCTAATCCTCACCTTCTCCCTGCACAATGAGAAGACAGGGCCAAGCAAAGCCAGGAGGTAGAGACTGCCTGGAGCTGCCTTGCCCTCAGCAGGGCCGCACTGCAGGGCCAGGGAGCCAGAGCTCCCGCTGCATCTGCTACAAAACTCACTGGCAATGTGCTCCCCATCCAAGATAACACTTGCAGGCAGAGCAATATCTCCCCTGTGCAGCAGTGCCTGCAGACAGCGATAGAGCATCCATCCCACCACCCACCTCGGCGCCGGTACCTCCCCGGACCGCAGCCGCTGTGCTGTGTCCAGCCCTCTCCTGGCTCAGGACACCAGAGCAGGGCCGGGACTGTGCTGACGTGCCCACGAGCCACGCACGGCACCCACCACGCTCCCGCACAACCCGTGCGACCGGTCCAGCACCTCCTGCTGCCGTGGGCCGGCGGCCAGGAGCCCCATGGCTGCGCCGGCAATGTCTCCTGTGAGTCAGAGAGGAGCCTGGCACCGCCACGCCGAAGTTTGTCTCCAGACACTTCCCTGCATCAATTCCCTTTCGCAATGCAGCCTGTCACCGTGGCCTTTGGATCCTGCCGGGACAACCCGTGCTGCAGATGGACACGCTATTGCCAGCCTGGCGCAGGAACGCATTCAGGACAAGGGCAACAACGCAGCAAAGTCCTCCGGGACTTGGCTCCGTGCTCTGCTTTCCACCAACACCCAGGTGGGAGATAAAGTCATGTTTTCCAAAGGTGCCACTGGCCCAGCAAACACCATCACTCCTCCTCTGGGGCAGGATGATCCCTCCTGCCTCCAACAGGTTTCCTGGCAGGATAAACCCCAGGCCCAGCATGATGGGCTCCAGCACTGCTTGTCCTGGACAGAGACCTGATCCCAGATGGACTTTGCTCGCCGTGAATGAGATGGGCCAGGAAGTCTGAATGGGAAGCAGGGGCAGGGGGGGAGAGCAGCAGGGCCCTGACTGAGCGCTGCCAGTGGCGTTAAGAGCAGCAGGGATTATCAAACACAATATCTCTCCCCCCCCCCCCCCCCCCCCGGAATATAAAGGCAGTGAAACAGAAGCTGTGCAGGAGATAAGGCAGCAGCACCCGGCAGCTCATATGGAATTACTGCAGTGACCTTGAGCGAGAGGCTGCCAGGTGGGAGAAGGACACAGGGGTGCGGGGACAGGTCCCCATCGCCCCGCTGCCCGGACAGGAGACTGCGGACCCGCACCGGGGGGGGGGGGGGCGACAGGAGCAACACGGAGGGGAGCAGGAGGAGATGGGAGGGGAGGAGAGCGCAGAGAGGGAGACGGGGGGAGCCCGGCGGGGGATTACAGCCTCCTCCATCCCCGATCAGGTGCGGGGCTGGGAGGAGCAGCGCCCGCCATGGAGGGAGCGGCGGGGGAAGGCTCCCGGCAGAGCCCTCGGCCCGGCTCCCAGGGCCGCATCGCACCCGCACTCCCCGCGGGGCCCCGAGCCCGGCCCGGGGGGCCCCGCAACCAGCGGGGCCCGGCATCCCCCGGCCCGACGCAGCCTGCGATGCTCCGGCGTCCAGAACCTTCCTCTTCCTCCTCCTCCTCTTCTTCCCCTCCTCCCCCCGACCCCGCAGCCCGGTGCCGAGGGGCACAGCCCCGCTTACCTGCGCGGCGCGGAGCGCGGCCCCGCCGAGCCGGTGGCGGAGCCGGAGCCGGTGTGAGCGGGCTGGAGGCGGCCGCAGCCCGCCCGCTGCCTGCTGTGAGCTGCCGGGCTGGCTGGGCAGGTCCCGGCGGCAGGTCCCGGCTTAACCCCTTCGGGGCCGCCCCAGCCCCGGCCCGGCTCCCTCCCGGGTACCGGCAGAGGCGCTCAGCCCGCCCCGGCGCAGCGCGGTGCGGAACCGGCCGCGGGGGATGCGGCTCCGAGCCCCTGCCCCGCCGCATGCGGGAGGCGGGGATGCTGTTAAGTGCTCAGTCACTGCCCCTCGCTGGCAGCCGCCCAGGCGCCGCTCGCTGCTGCTTGCTTTGCTTTATTTTAATGATTTTTGCCCTCCCCATCCCCCTTATTTTTAGACAGAAATCAACGGTCCCGGGTTCGGAAGCGGCTCCGGGGGATGCCGACCCTCCCCAGGGCGCAGCTCCCGCGCTGGTACCCAAGGCCACGGCTGCAATTTGGGTTTGTTGCGTTTTTAATTTATATGGGTTTGGGTGTTGTTTTTTTTTTCCTTTCCTGGGATCTAAATTTGGAGCGGATTCTTCCCCAGCTCTGAGCAGCTCCCGGAGCCTGGCTGGGGGAAGAGAGGGAGGCATCAGATGACATGACAAAATAAGTCATGTCTCTCAATCGTTTCAATGCCACCCCCTCTCTCCCGGCCTCTGCCTTCCATTTTAATCACTGACAGGCCTTCAAGTATTATGGATATATATCATCTTTTTAATATCACTGACATTTTCCATAATGGAAAGCATCTCCTGAGTGCTGAGACATTCTGGAGGGGGAGCGTGGCTTCCTGCGATGCTCCTGCCACGCAGAGCTGGGACTCATCTTGCCCCCGGCACTGAAGGTCCTGCCTTGGGCAGCGGGGGGAAGGCGGGGGGGTGGGCTGGGAGCTGGGGGCACTGCCTCCGGGAGCTGTGTGAATCACATCAGTGTACATGTAGTCCCATTCTCAGCTGCAGCATCCAAACCATCCTCCAGGTCACCCTGGAGCACATCCCAGCTCAGGCAGTAGGAGGCATTCTCAGATCCAGGCATTCCTCCATTCCCAATACTCACAGTTCAGCTGTGTCAGGCAGCCGAAGCAGCCAGCTTGCCCCTCTTCAGGCACTGATCTTGTATGAGCAAAGGAGGGTCAACACCCTACGAGCTGCAGTGGAGATGTACAGACATAGGGTTCGCTTTGACAGACATCCCATGATGCCACCACAGCCATAGAGCCCATCCAGGCTCTAAAGCTGATTTCCCTCAGCCCTGGCCCAAGCCAACTGCTCACCCAGACCCCCTTTGCCATAGAGAAGCCTCCGGAAATGTGCCAGCACCTTCTGCTTGCAGCATTTTCCTGCAATTCCCCTTCCCGGCCTCTCTAACAGTTATGGTGTCTTCAGGCCCTGCCTCACGTGATGGGGTTGGTATGTTAACTCCCAGGGCCAGGAAGGTTGCTCACCTTGGTTATTTAGCAAACACAACACAAATTATTAACAATAATACAAATAATGCCTACGTTTGGCAGAGGAGAAGGAATACTCTGTGTGCCTGGCTGATAGGAATTGTCATTATTGGGGCTGGAGCATGCGTATGTCCTCTGGAGCGTGGGGTCTAAAGCTCTAAAGGCTGTATATCTAAAGGAAGGACTCAGATCTCATACCAGGCCTTTCTAAAGGTGCTGTGTGGCAGCCAGCTCTAATTCCACTGCAGTTCGTCATGTAACTTCACAAATCAATGCAAAAGGAGGGGAAAAAAAAGGCATCTGGCTCAGAGAAAGCCACAGCAGCAGCCAAAGAGCAGCGCAATGCTGACCCTGCATGTCCCTTCCTGCATGCTGCTCGTACCTTGTCCCTTGAGGACACCCTTGCCCAAGGCTGTAAGAGACACAGGCGATATTTATGACCAGAAAATAAGGTTATTCACAGCATTTGGGTTTGTTCTCCTTGCAGAAGTTCTTGCGTCACTCAGCTGCCCTGTGCCACCAGGCTCCTCCCTTGGAAGGGAAGGAGATACGAGCACATTCTTCCATGGTACATGACTGACGTGAAACTCCCATCTATCTACCTGATTTTGTATGAACAAATACCCCTGAGAACAGAGGTACACATGGAGCCTGGTTTCTACAGGCTGCACTGGAGGCACAGCTCTTGTGAAGGGGCCTTGCCATCTTTTAAGGCAAAGCTACCACGTTAAAGTATTCCTGCCTTTGAGACAATCACGTTGCCTCTATAACGTGCAGACTCCCTCTTGCCTAGAAACAGATGGCTTGAGCTGCTTGAGTTGGGCATATTCACAGGCTGATAATCATCTCCAGGGAGGCAGGAGCTATTGTCAAAGCCTGTGAGACACGCCCCAACTCCAGGCCTTTTCCCTTCTCAAGCTCAAAATGTTGCTGAAATTCTCACTACAGGAATGCTGAGCAGAGACATTCCCGTTGTGGGTCTGTGCCCGCTAAAGCCAGAGGAGGCTCCTGGCTTCCACACAAGTCAAAGCGCTTCCCTGCTAACAGAAAGCATCCCAAAGCACAAGGAGCCCCACCTGGCCGGCAAAACCAAATGAGCTGTGCTTTGCCAGCAGGAGGAACATCTCCTCTCCCCAGAGACAGCACACGAGCTGAAATGAGAAAGCAAAAGAGAACAGTTCTGCAGAAGGAACAGTTATTTCATGCGTGTCAGGGTAGGGGAGCACCTGTCCAAGGCTCACACGGCGGGTGCAGTGACGTGCGGTTTGTAACAGCGATGCTCAGCACGGATACACATCTGCTGCCTCAGAACCACCAAGGTATCACAAACCTCAATTAATAATCTAACACTGATGTCATCTCTCTGCAGGGCCAAAGCCTTTCCGGGGAATGCTGTCCAGCTGCTTTAGCAGGAAGACAGCACTTTACTGGCATACGCCAGGTCTCTCGTGATGATGCCAGGTCAAGAGACCCTGCACCCAGTTCATCTGCCTTGGAAACCTGCTCTGAGCCAGGCCCAGCTGCAGTGTGTGTGACAGTCCAACCTGGAATGCCGCTACAAAAAGCTCCATTCCAGCTGTGATGCACAAGGAAACCTGGACAGGAAGCAGTGCTAAGCCCAGACACAGACTGATGGAAGCAAGAGGGGTGGCTCTAACTCAAGGCCTTACCATGCTCACACTAGTTACAGTGTGGCTTTCACCCATTTTAATTCAAGAGACATTAGTCTCAGAAAAAAGCAAGCAAGAGCTGGCTCAGAATGAGGCATGGGTACCTTGAGCTGGATGGAAAGAGATGGCGAGATCAGCACAAGAAGTAAACTCATGGGTGCTAAACCAGGCAAGGTGGCACACCCCTTAGGACAGTGTGTTTTCCCAGGGACCCGGGATGCCTCAGAGAAGCCTGGACAAGCAGCCAGGAACATGACCCAAAATGGAATGGATTTTTCAACGCCACTGTCCTGGCACTTGGGCTCATGAACACAAGGGACACCTTCTGCTCACCCACCCGCTAACCAAGCAAGACCAAGAAACAAAGCGTAAGACACATCTCGTGTTGACTAGCGCTTTTAAAGCCTTCCTCTTTAGCAGAAATGTCAGTATTTGCTAGTCCTAACGGCTTCTGAGCTGTGATATTTCTTGCCTTGTCTCTCCTTGGCAAGTGCTCATCTGCAGAAGTAACAGATGATCTAGCAATCGTCTCGCATCACAGCATGTCAGAAAGGAGGCAGCCCACTATCTGTAATCACTGCATCACCTCACAAAGAAGAATCTCCGCTTGATCTGTGTAAATGTGCTTGTTTATTGGTTTAAAAGTCTCTTTCTAGTTACGAAGGGCTTCACTCTCCCACTTGAGAGCACCTTGTTTCTTTAGCTCCTCAAACAAAGAAACCATTTTGCTCACCACTGAATCCAGCAGCCCATAAACCTGCAGCAGAAATTAACAGCAGGTTAATTGCAGTGAATACACAGGGAGAAAGCCTGGTGATGAGATGACAGACACAGAGATGGTGTCTCACAGTGGAGCACATTAACGTATGGGCACGCACTCATAGAAGAGGCTGCCTGCTAACAGAGCTTAGCTCTAGTAATAACTTTTCTGGCTATGAAGTGTGTTTAACATTATCTGAGGTACAATTAATTCTGTTCATCCCTCAAGAGTCCACAAGCATGCTAAAGACATCCCAGATAGAAATCCTGCACGTGGCTATGGGATGGCTGGGTTTATGATAGCAGGTTCCAGGCTGGAATAAAGGACATCTTACTTTGTGTTTCATGCTCACCTTGCTACAGAATTATGGACATATGTTTGGTAGCTTTCCGAGTTGATGCTTACCCCTCCACCTAAGCTTCGATGTAAGCTGACAAGCAGAGAACAAAACCAAGATACAAGCTTTGGACACAGACTTACTTCAATATAAAGTTTTTCCTGGTATATCCCAAACAAAACAGGGTCCAACTGCTCCCGAGGAGGTTCAGCTCCCTCCATGGGCTGTGCTCCCCCTTTCACGTCCAGCAATGAAACGGAAGATTTAATCTTTTTATCATCTTTTCCTCTTAACTTTCTGCTGCTTGGATGCTCCTATTGAGGGACAGACACAAAAAACACCCCAAGTGACACAGGTCAGAACACTTCAGCTTGTTGCAAGATGCACCTACCCTGAAGCAGCACCTCATCCATTGGGTGGATGACAGCCGCCAGCACTTAGGTTTCAACAGGCATCCCCCCACACACCTCTTTCCCTGTCTTTGTTCTTCTTTTGCCTTCTCTGTCCTTCCCACCAAATAACCTCTTGTCCTCTCTCCTGCTGGTTATTCTGTCTCCTTTCACAGGTACCTTTATTTCCACTATAAAAGAAAGAATTTCAATTACTCAAAACCAACATTTGCACACCCAGAAGCCAAGCCCACCGCGTCCATGCAGTGGAATTATTACTTTTACAATCTGCTTTCCTCTTTTGATTAATCTGACCTGTGTATAGCACTGAAAAACAACACTTTGAAGAGTACTTTGTTTAAATAACGACTTGTATCAGAACAAGGCTGTAAAACAGCTTAGGGGTTTTCTGGTTAGTCTGTGTGAAAACCATGTACATCTAGCTAAATTAAAAGGCTTTATTTGTGTGGTGGGTTTTTAATGGCACCAAACCACAGATCACAACCGGCATCACACAAATGCCTTTTTTAATGATGCATTTTCTCATAGAAGCTTTGAGGGGAAACCACTGAAGTTGTCATTTCAGTTGAACTTCAGCACGTGTTGAGGATTCACAACAGTTCACAGACACAGGGTGCTGTGCTACAACCACCATTTACCTGCTTCCTCTGGACCTTCTATATAGGTGTCCTTCTCAGGCAAGCCAAGCAGGGATCTCAGCTTCATAGAGGCACCCACCAGAGCATCAACTGTTTCACGCCACAGCTGGAGACTGAGGGAAGTATCAGAATCAGAAAGGAGACAGCACAGTGATTGCCAGGGGTGAAGGCAACTTCCAGAGCTGCTCTGTCCATGTAAGCCAGTAAAACAGCACCCACTGTCCGGAAATCCATCCAGAGGGATGCTCAATCACCTTCTTCATGTTAGAGCCCTCTGAGGTCTCTGAGGCTTGCAAATCAATGGGCTCCCATGGACCCACATGTATTATTGTGAAACTAGATCTGTGCATTCGCTAAGGACATGTAAATCAGCATTAGCCTGCTCTGTGTTCACCAAGAGAAACCTGCATCCTTCTCATTTAGAAGGAAACAGAAGCTTGTTGATATCTTCACAGTCTGAAAGCCTGAGCAAAGAGCAGAGACTCAATACAGTTATCTGAGTAAAAGGGTAGAGAAAATTACCCATAGGTTTTATAAATACAGACTGGAACAACCTTGCCAGAAATAATCCTGTATACTCCCCAAAATTACATGAATTTCATATTCTAAACTTATCTCCAGGGAATAAAAAAAACCCCACTTGGGTCCTAGACAGCTGCTAAAACTCAGCTATAAAAAAACAGAATGTAAAGACAACTTCTAGACCTTGTATCATTATCTGCACTCTGAATCACAACGCTTGCAACACAGCTTGCTAAGGCTGTTGATCACACAGCGCATTGACAAGCTTTATCTTGCAAAGGTAACGCACCAGATTTGATGCAAAAGGTCTGACTGAGTTGGCCTCTGTTGAACACACAGGTCCAGTGCTGCCTTATTGAGCTGGGCCAGCGCTGCTTCCTGCTGCTCTTCCATGGGGATTGACTTTATAGCCTAATGTGAAAGAAAACACACGGTGTAAGCAACACTTCTCCTCAGCCTTCACTCCCAGCCTGTGGACCCTGCAGTCAATACCATGGCTCTCTTCTCGGACACGAGTATGAAACCAGGCTGCACTGGGCACTTATACACCCAGATCTGGCTTCCTCTATGGCTGGGGTTTGGCCAAGGTGCACGCATGACCCTAGACCTGGGGAGCATTCCCAGACCCCCAGTTAGGTTGCAATAAGCCCCTCTGCAACTTCATAGGTGTGCTGGAGAACAGGGATTGAGGCCAGCCAGAAGACCCTGAAGTAAAGATTAGTTATGAAAGCAGCAGAGAGATTTCCAAGAGAGCAATCTATATAAAACCAGTGATGACAGAACCCAAACCACTCTTGCTTTCATCTAGGGAGGTCTGTACTTTATCCACAGCCTGTTATGAGTGCTCCCTTAGTGCTCTGATGAATAGGAAGGACTCTCCAAGGAGACGAGCCCTTGGGGAAGCCACAGGAGGCTGTAGGATTAGCCTACCCCCCCGCATTCAGTCCTGGGATGACAGAAAGCTAATGGCAGAAGAGCTTAAAATATCTATTACATTGTCTGGTTCTCTTTTCTTCTCCACACAACAGCCCTCAAAGGCTCTCTTGGGAATGTCTTTACAAGAGCACTGAGGGTGTGGGGAGCAGAGCTGAAGTGCTTTTCTGCAACACACATCATAAATCACCCCTAACTTGGGGCGCGTTGGAGGCAGCGCTTTGGGTGGGCTCACACTGCAGCACGCCTGGCTGTAGGGGAATGAAAACACCACCACTGCTCACTGCAATAGCGGGAATAGAGGCCACCACCTGCTTAAAGTCCTCTAAGGAAAGGTTCCATCCTGAAGGGGCTGGTTCTTTCTCCTCCACATTCAACATTTGACTCGGAGCTCCCTCGAGTGAATTCCTCCAACCCAGGCTCTCTGTGATGCTGCTCTGAGCAGAGGGACCCTCTGCAATACTCTCCTGGTACCGCACGTCCTCCACACTCGTCTGGCCCAAGGGCACTTTCTCCTCAGTCATGTGCTGTCTCCACAGTTCATGCAGCTGCTTTACCACTTCGTGCTGATAATGCAACTGTGATAAAGGGGAAAAAGGTAAACAGTGAAATGAGCTATGCCTTTCCTCTACAAACCTGACTGTTAAAGCCACCACAGCAGACTGTGCCAGCCTCCAAGGATGCAGCAGTCCCACTGGTCTTCCCTCCCTGCTGTTTCAGTTGTGTATCCCAGCAAACAGCAAACATCACCTCAGGGTTCTTCCAGTGGAACAACTCTTCCTCGGTGACATAGGCATCCACGGGAGATGGGGTGCGCTCTGGGGTCCGAATTCGGCCAAGAAGTTCCTTTATGCTCTCTTCTACTATAGCAGCACCTTCTCGAGCAGCCAGGTCACTCTGAGGCACCACAACCAGAACAACACGTGAGAGTCCCTGATATCACAGTGTACAACACACAATCCCATCCTCACCAAGTAACTAATAAACACATTACCAACAGAGCTTTAATTCTTTAAAGGACCAATGTGACCAGTTTGGGAGACACAATCATGTCTTTATTAACAATATCAGGCTGCAGAGTTCTTCCTTCTTTCTCTTTTCAGCAAACCTGTCCAAGTATGTGCAGGTGCTCTGTAAATCAGCTCATTCTCAGCCCTAATTGCATAGCAATAAAAATACCATGTCATCCACTCCCACCCTTATCCTCTATTTGCATATTAAGTTCAAAGCTCACAGTCACCCAGTTACATGCTTGGTTACCTCCAGTTTCTCTCTGAGGTCAGCCAGTTTATCCTCAGACACAGCAATTCCCCAAAGGGTCACCTGCAGCACTGCTCCTGCTAATAATAGGGGATGTGTCCTGAATTCCCAGGCCTCGCTGAAAATGCCTACTCTCTCTGACTTGAAAATAAAGGAGAACTTCCTCGTTTCTCCAGGCAAAATTACACCTGAAATAAGAGAGAAAAATGCACTGGTCTGCAAGAAGCCACCTGGTTAATTTGACCCTTTTCCAACCCCACCCTGCGTGTCCTTATCTCAGTACGAGACTCTCTCCCCATAGCTTAGCTGGTTATCGCATTTCATCCAGCTATTTTTCTCCTTCCGCATTTACTTCCAGTCACCACGTTACTGAACTGGTGTTATTTCCACTACACGCTGCTTCCACAGCGAGCTCAGTGCTCTCTCCAGCAGATTATGCCCAGTTTTTCATCAGAAAATGATTTGCTTCTCAGTATTCCACCCATTTGCATTCAGAGCAGGGGCAGCCTCCTTTCCTTTAAGGGATCCCATGAAAGGGATCTGCTCACACACCTCTTTAGGTGTGAGTCAGCTCTGACACGCAGGGTGGCTTCCTAAGGAGAATCATCCAACAGGCTTGCTCTGCCATTAGTCAGACTCCACATCTCAGATAACTCCTGCATACGTGTTCTCTGGTCTCTGTACAAAGGTCTCTGAGATCAGCAGCTCCCATACCTGGTCTGGTATCAAAGTAAAAACACTGCATCCTCTTCCCCTTGTGTTCTCTGGAGGGAATCTTGTGGGGAAGCCTCATCCAGTTATACCAGATGGCAGCTGTGCCATTATTACTCACTGTCAGGGGGCTTTCAGCTTTCTCACCAGCCAAAGTCTCAAAGGTGAGGCGGGCAGCAATGCCAGTTAGATCCTACAAGAAAGAGGGAGAGGGCAAAGATAAGTTCTCCTCTTGCCTGAAGTCACACCACAACTAAGAGGGTGAGCCTTGAACCTGTAAGGCAGGTCCAATGAAGTGGCCATTATACACAGAAAGCCTGAGAATCTGAGCTTCACACCACAGACAGAGCAACCCCTTCTGCTTCTCCAGAGCAAACACAGGGATACTCTATTCTGCTCAGAATAAATCCCCTATTCTCTGGCCCAGAGGTGACACTCATTGTACAGCTGTGCGCTGGGAACTCGAGCAGGCTTAGCTTGACTAAGCAATAAGAAGTGCACAATTACCCTGCAAGAGCTGCAGTT